ATATATATATATATACTTTTTTTTTTTTTTTTTTTTTTTTTTTGTATATTTTAATGAAAAATAATATAAAAATAAAATTTTTTTGATTAAAAAAAGATAAATTTAAAAACATTTCGCATAATCAAATAATAAAAATGACTAAAATTAAAATTACTTTTTTCATTATTTACAATAACTTTTTTTTCATTTAAACATATAAATTACATATACATATATATATACATATACATATATATATACATATATATATATATATATTTTTAACATATTTTTAACATATTTTTAACATATTTACACATAAATGAGATCTCTCATTCGGAACTTACGGAGTACGAAGTAAAACGAATATCCAATCAAAATAATCTACATTAAAATGCATGAAAAAAAAAATTTATCAGTATAAAGGAAACTATTTTAGGATTCTATTGAATATACCATTTTCGAAATTCAAAAAATTCTAATCCCCGAACTAAACGTAAAAATGTATAGTAATTGTAATAATTGTACGAATTTGTACGACATCTTGTGATAGAATTCATCTAATCGTAAAAAAATGAGTCAATTTTTGTTATCACAATTAATAAGAGAGTATATTAGAGTACGCTAGGGTATACTAGGGTATACTAGAGTATACTAGAGTTTATGAGGTTTGAGTTTATGGAAAAATTTCGTTCATATGACCAACTGACAAACTCAGCCAAAAAATTCTCTCTGTCCAATTTACCTAGTATAGCGCAGTCACAAGGAACGCAGAAGTCGCAGAAAGTCGCAGTAAATATTTACATTATATATACATTTATATACCATAAATTCAGTTCTTTTATACAAGGGTAAAAATCTCAGCCACAGATATTATTCTTTGATTGGTTGGATCAAAATATATCAAATATAAATATTTCGTTTTTAAGAGATCAAAATATGGCCTATATGGCCTGATATTCTAAATACCTTATGATAACTTATGATACTTTATTAAAAAGAAAAACTTTTTGTTTTTTTTTTGTGAGATGATCTAATGCATTTTAAACATTCAAATAAATTAATTAACAATGAAATGTAATACCAAAGATGCCACGAGAATAATTAAATAATGAAAAAAATGTATTAATTATGAATATGATGAATTTAGTAAAAAAAAAATTTAAAAATTTTTTTTTTAAAAAAAAACTCTTTTTTAAAAAAAAAGATACGTTTAATACGTTTTCTTTTTATGGATTGAATTATTTTGATAAAAGAACGTAGATTGAAGGTTAATTATAAATAGTTTCATAATTTTTTCATATATATATATACACAATTTTATATTAAATTAGAATGAATGGTAAAATGGTAAATAAAAAAAAAAATTATTAACATTTTTTTAAAAAAAAAAACCCACCTTTTTATTTATTATCATTACCATTTATCCTCTCATATTCCCTACGAAGAAAGAAATTTATCACCCTTTTTTTCCAAATGTCAGCGGCTATTCTTCGACCAAATAGCGAAACACAATATTATTCTCCTGCAAATTATTCTAGACAAATGCAAATGTTGCACCAACAACAACAACAACAACAGCAACATCAACAACAACAGCATCATAATCATCATCAATCAAATTTCTTACAATCGAACAATTGTAAAACTGAATCTTTACCCCTATCTTTACCTGACCAACAACAACAACAATCTTCCATGTTAAAGAATAATAACAATACAAGTCAAATTAACAATAATACTTCCGCACCTCATTTTGAATATGTTTCATATGATAGAGTTCAAGATCTATATGAACAAAGAAAAGGTCATTTTTATTTCATTCCTGAAGGTTTTGAACCCGTCTTGGTTCCCAATGATTCAAAAGCTCAGGCTGTAACAAATTTATTGGAAACCTCCAAACCTGTCTCTACCGCTCCTAATGTTTCAAGAATGTTACCTGATACTGATGTTCGTTTACCATCTTATGCCTTACCTTGTGGTGTCGCTGGACCTGCAAAGAAGGATGTTGCTCCTAATGGTAAAATTCCTAAAGTTAAGAAACCTCCTAGACCTCCGAATGCTTTCATACTTTATCGAAGAGCGAAACAACCAACTATTGTCGCTCAACATCAAGGAATTACAAATAATGAGGTTTCTAAAGAAATTGGAAAGATGTGGCACGAAGAACCGATGGAAGTTCGTCTTAAATTTCAAAAAATGGCCGAAGCTGCTAAAGAGGAACACATGAAAAAATACCCAGAATATAGGTATCGTCCAAGAAGACCACAAGAAAGGAAACGTCGCGTTCAAACACGTGAAGCTTCAAACAGAAGATCTTCGGCCCCAACTTTACCTCATCGTGTATCATCATCATCCGTTGTAGAAAATCCTGATTACATATCATCAAGACGTGTATCATCAATATCTAGTGATGGAGAAAATAGAAGTCCTATTCAAAATCAACAACAAATTTATTACGCTAATTCCGAAGCACCATCAGATTCTACTTATGGTGGAATGATTGATAATCAAACAATGCCACCACAATTCACTTCTTACATGCAACCATCAATTAATGATTTCTCAGTATTTGAGGCTCAACCTCAGGATATGTCGGAAGACGGAGTTGATTTTGATTATGATTATAACGATTATAATCCACAAATGATAAATTACGCAGGGCATTATCCTCATCATCAATACGTACAAAAATATTGAATTATTAATTAATTCGTTTATATTACGTCTTGTTACCCTATTGCTACCCTCTTGGCTTGCGCCCTTCGGCGTAACCTGTCTAGACTCTAGAATATTCGTTTATTTTACGCCAAATTCTAGATCGTATTGAAAGATTCAAAAATTTCTCAGTATTTCAAATATATTTCAGTAGTCGATGTTCAAAAAAAAAATTCGTTTTTTTTTTTATTTTTAGTTTATTAATGTATGTCTTCGTCGAGACATGCATTTTTTTTGAATTCAAATTTTATTTTTATTTTATTCTTTTTTTTTTTTTTCGTTATTAATACTTCGTTTTTTTTTTTAAATACTACTTATCAAGTAGTTTTAAATCATTTTAAGGTGAAGTTTTGAATTATTCCTTTAACTGTTAATATAATTTTTTATTTTTATTCTAAATTTGGCTTACAAATTATAATTTTTTTTTTTCTCAAAAATACACAGATCTTTTTCAGATCAAAATTTTATCAACTATACTTTTTAAGTTTTATAACACAAAAGATTTTTTTATGACATGATTTCATATTTCTTTTTCCCCTTTAAAACTTACGCTTTTTTTTTTCTTTAAATGAACCACACTAAAAAAAAAAAACTAAAAAAAAA